CCTAGCTATCTGGCTTAACTCCACCCATGGGACGATTATCCCATGGGACGATTTTTAACTACAATTCGCAATGTAAATCGTTCCCGAGCCAATCAAGTATAATCCAACATAATTTGCATTGCGCATTGTCGGTAGAGAATTCCCGTGGAACATCGTATATTCGTATATTCAGTTTTATATATCCGCGTTTGACGTTATTATGAAAAAGATTATTTTAACACCAAATCGTTACTCTTAAAATTACCAAATGCCTCAAATTGTTACTCTCTTCATGAAATTTTGGAAAATCCTTTTTCGCGCGTCGAGTCCCGCTTACAATTCGTGGACAATAATGAAGAAAAACACAAGTAATTGGGTGTCCATTAGCAATAATGCAAAGCTCACTTCCCTCGTGGTTGTTTGAGCACTCTGGCCCCATGTCACTCTGCGCATGTCTGGATGCGTTGATGGCTCGTGTTGTACCACATGCGCTTGGGAGAGCAAGTGTCATGTATATCAATACGAAAGTCATTGCGTGTCTAGATGTGTACCAAGCTGCACTGATGAGGCGTAGGACGCCGAAACATGCATGTCTGCAGATTGTACTATTACGCTCCTTCACTTCGGTGTTGTAGAGCACTCTGTGGAGTTAATTGGGTCTCGATTAGCAATAATGCAAAGCTTACTTCCCACGTGGTTGTTTGAGCACTCTGGCCCCATGTCACTCTGCGCATGTCTGGATGCGTTGATGGCTCGTGTTGTACCACATGCGCTTGGGAGAGCAAGTATATCAATACGAAAGTCATTGCGTGTCTAGATGTGTACCAAGCTGCACTGATGAGGCGTAGAACGCCGAAACATGTATATATGTATATATATATATATATATATATATATATATATATATATATATATATATATATATATATATATATATATATATATATATATATATGTATATATATATATATATATATGTGCATGTACATCTATAACTCTGTTATTTATCCTTGATAAGGGGCATGCCCCGAAACGTAGGATAAGAATAAAGTCTTAAAAAAGTTCGTTTTGTGATTTATATATATATATGATGAGGCCCATAAGGCCGAAACGGTACCGTCTGTAGTTTTTGATATCACAGAGAATCCATGCATGCCTGACACATATTACACACGTTTTCAAAATTACGTGACCAGCCCAAATATAGCTATATATAGTGTTGCAGTATGTCACACGGTCACGAAGCTCAAATTGTTTCCAACTTTGAGTTTTGCGGTTCAGTATTGATGTATATGTTTTGTATGCTTTATATAACAACCTTTTTTGAATTAGTTGAAAATATTAAAATATAGTCACAACTCCGAGTTATATATATATATATATATATATATATATATATATATATATATATATATATATATATATATATATATATATATATATATATATATATATATATATATATATATATATATATATATATATATATATATATATATATATCGGGTGTCCCAAAAAAAAGTACTCCTGTTTGATTCGTAATAACTTCTAAACAAGTAAAGCTTTTAAAGAGAAATAACTTGCATTAAATAGAGGAAGGTCTAACTTAGATTTTGATATATTACAGTTGTATCTAACTTAAAAATTCACGGAGATATTTATGTTGAAAATCGGGAGCATATTTTGGGATGTGTCTAAAATTAGCGAAAATCGGCATATCAAATATTAACTCCAGCGTTTGTTTGCTTAATGACATATAAGGCTAACTTGTATTTCACCGAATTATCGTTAGGGTTTGTAAGGGATATGGCGTAGATTTAGACATCTTACATGTAAGTCTTAGCTCATTGTTTCCTGAAATATGAACGTTCGAAATGATGCAAGTATTTAATATTAGGTCTTTACAAACTTAAATCTACATGAAAGACTGACCATGGAAGGCAGGCGCTTAAATTTTTCGTATTCTTAAATACCGGTAGCCTAATTTTTTTATGCTTTTAATGGGTTCAAACAGACTGAGTAGATTATTTCTCGGTTAGAGCAGGATGAATATTATTCTTTATTGAAGAAAATAATATTGCTTTTTGCAAATACACATCACCGTATCAACGCTACTATTTTGTTACGTTTTGTTCCAAAAATGTTGCATGTCTCTGGGGAGTTGCTTAATTGTTATGTCTTATGGAGTTGTAAGGTTTGATTGTGTTTTATATAATTCTCAGTTTACTCTGAACTTGCCAAGATTAAGAAAAGGCAAAAGAGTTTGGGTGTTCTTAACAAGATTTCAGAACGTTGCAGAAGTTAGAAGAGCTTCACAATTCCATTGTGACAGCATGCCCTAATTCAGAACTACGAACGATCCATGACGATCCTTCGCGATGCAGTGGTCTCATGAAATAAGGAAACGTATTCGTGCTAGAAACACACGCGAATTTCGGACGAATAAATCTTGCTTGTATTTTGTAGATATTGTAATACTTTGCTTCATAATAAACAATTTGTCAAGTATCATTTATTTACTGGTAATAGTGCGTGTTTCAGTCGGGCAAATCTTGATTAATATTTGATACACCGTTTTTTGCATATTTCAGACACATCCAGAAATATGC